CCCTTCAATGTCCCAGATATGTTGAAGAACATTTCAGACTGCTGTTTGAAATCTGCCGAGGTTGTCTGATGATCGGAACAATGCAGCAATGGAGTCAATGACAATGAGTTTCACTGGTAGGCGGGTGTGATCAATGGCAATAAATGCTTCTAGGTCTCCAAGGACATGGATGAGTTGTTCAGCATCATGAACACCACGAACATATATGTCTTCCAATGGCTCCAACCTTATTAAGTTGGGGTACGATGCATGATAAAGGTTGCCTAGTTGTTGCAATCGACGAAATTAGAAGCTGAATTCTGTGAATATGTAGACGGAGGAGCCCCCTAGTCCGCCATGTGAGGGTGGGAGCTGAGCTCGTAGCGTAAGTTAGAGACAAAGCTGTGTCTTCCGGGAACCACTCTCCCCTACCAATTCTGTTCTGGAGTTGCAGGGTATCCCACCCCCCAAGCAGTCATCTAGTATTGGGCATCCAATGGATAATTTAGGGGTTGAAAGAGGAAGGAGCATGAGGTTTTGGGGTGTCATGTTTCTGTAATTTAGGGGGGGATGTGATGGTGCTACAAGGCATGCATTATATATATAGAGTTCATTTTGAAGGTCTGTAATGTAGGCCATATGTCTTTTAAGGGATGTATAATTCATCCTTTTTCCAGGTTGTAATTACTTTTTTTTTTGTATTTTTGTATTTTTTTGGACCAAATAATTTTAAAAACATTCTGATGCAGTACGTACTGTAATATGATCATATTGTAACCCTATCACTACTCTATTGTACTCTTATTGACTAATATTGCCACTATACGCATGTTTATTGTATAGTTATTGCTGCTATATCGCCACTCAACTGGACACCGATAAACTGTATACGCACAAATACAAAAAGAGGCATCACATTCCATAAAATCCTATTTCCAAACTTACATAATACAACAACAGGCCACCCCATCGTTACATAATACAAAAAGAGGCGACGTCACAGTTCCATTTCCCTGCTATTGACAAATTCGAAGTTGCATACTCTTCAAGTGCGGCGACCACGACCCATGAAATTCATGACCCCGGCCATAGTTATGTTGGCCCAGTTTCCTGCCGGATCCACTATTTTTGCAAACTTACGAAATAGTTCGAATCCGCTTTCCACTTCTTGTTGCTTCAACTTTTCTTCTGATTCCTTGAATACCATAATTGCAATGGCATGGGCAATTTTAATTTTTCCTTTCATTGCCTTTATATATAGGAGATGCATGCGGGCATGATAACGAGAGCGAATTGTGCGGTTTTTTATGACACCCCATCTAGCTTGGCCCTCCACAATTTTCGAAACTATGTCTGCATGGAGCTTTTTCCAAAACATGGTATTGCCTCGACATTGCTGCATGCCATGGACCAAGTCTGCAGTGAGTGAATTGGGTGATTTGCCTTCTGTTTCAGTCTTCCCTCCTTCAGTAATTGAAAGCGTTGGGTTTGGTGTGAGGTTATGGTCCATGGTCTTTGATATTTATTGTAGGCTGGTGTACGACTTAATTGGAAATAAAGGGGTCTACTTCACCTGGGAGTGAAATCAATGGGGAAGGTAATGGCTGCAGTTAATGTGATGGAAGTTTTAATTTCAAACAGCTGGGTTGATTAATATAGGCAGGCTTTAATGACCTAGAGTAACTGAGAGAGTTATTGGCGAGAGGGATTAGGGGGAGTAATTGGCGGGAGGGATTGGCGGGAGTCTTAGGCGGGATAGTATTGGGCGGGAGTTATTACCCAGTTGATTATATGCCTTTTTGTAATATATTTCTATTTTGGATGTTCCGAACTTGGTAATTTTCCCATTATGTAATTCAAATTAGGGATTTGCCTCTTTGCCTAATTGACCAACTCATTCAAATTGACCAATATGGTTATTGTCTTATTTCTCATTTCAGCAATCTCAATTCGTTTCCATTTTTCCATTTTTCATATTTTCCTATTTTCCATGTGTCATCCAAATTTTCATTATTTTTGCCTATTTTTCCTATTTCCTATTTTAGTATTTTGCAATTTCCCAAGTTTCCTTTTTATACTATTTCCAGTTTTTCAATTTTTCAATGTTCCTATTTTCCCATTATGTAATTCAAAAAAGTTGCCTACTTTGCCTAATTGAGAAAGTAAATAAAATTGTCCAATATGGTAATTGTTTTATTTCCCATTTCCACAATTTCAATTCGTTTCCAATTTGCCTATTTTCCACGTGTCCCTGTTTCCTATTTCCATTTATCCAATTTTCAGTTTTTGTCCAATTATCCAATTTTCTTTTTTCCAATTGCCCTATTTTCTAAGTTTCCTTTTTTTCCTATTTCCAATTTTCCAATTTGCTAAATTTTCCAATTTTCCAAGAGTCTTTATTTTCCAATTACCCAATTTTCGAAGTGTCCTTTTTGGCTTTTTCCAAATTTCCAAGTGTCCTTTTATCCTATTTCCTAGTTTCTTGTTTCCAATTTTCCTTTTTTTCCCTATTTCCACTTTTCCAATTTTCCAAGTTTCCTTATTTTCCATTTTCCAAGTTTCCACTTTTGCTAATTTGCTATTTTGCTATGTTCCAATTTTCTTTTCTGAAATTCGCAATAAATGCTTAGTTACATAGTCCTACTTTGGGTTCAAATCCACAATTTCCAATTTCCCATTAAGGTTTGCTTTTTTCTGTTTGTCAGCCCATTTTATTGTTGTTAATGTAATGCTCTACTGCTGTAAATTACAGCCAACGAGTTAATGGTCTAGTTTGCAATCCCATCAATTCATTGCACCACCTAAATACCCAATATACTTCATATCAATTCCTCCATATAGCTCAACCTTCCTATAAATAATTGCAACTTAGCCAACTTCTTCAACCTCATAAAGGTAATGAGTCGTCCTCAAATGCAAACTTTCAATCTCCAGTTGTGAATTGTCCCCATCAATAGTTCAAGATGTCAGATGTACGCCCTCCAAACGAGCATGGCAGTTTCCCGGGGGACCAGCCATGGCATGTGTCATTCCCATCTCCACCTCCGACTCCCAATCATGATTCCACTTCATCTGGAAGTGAGGCTGAGAGCAATGATCCACTTGACAAAATCTCTGCCGTCAAGCATGACCTCCAATATTTGTCTATGGCAACAAATTGGTGGGAGACTAAATGTGATATTCATGGCCAAGTTATGGGAAACTTGGCCAACAAGTTGAACAAAGCATATGCTGGAGAAGTGAAGCAAACTCTAAAAGCAAACAGTCGGAGCAAAGAGTTAGAGTCGTTGAAGTTGAAATTGGAAGAGA